ATATCACCCAATTTATTAATAAATATCTTATAAACCTTTACCTTTTCCCTCTGCTTCCATGTCTCCTCCCCTTGCTCCATCAGCTCCCCTGGTGCCTGCTGCCCCCCAACCCCTCATCCTCCTCTGCTGTCCTGACTCCTGCCCTTCTCACTGCCCTCAGCCTTCCTGAGATCTGCCCCGCTCCACCAGCCCTTCTCTCCCACCTGTGCCCACTTCTCCAGTAGCCCTTCTCCCCCCCCTGTTCCCACTCCTCCAGTAGCCCCACTCTGATCATGCAAGCTACCCATCCTCATCCCTTCTCATAACACCTCCCTCCACCCCCCCCCCCTGCCTCTCTCCTCTGGTGCTGGTCCCTCCCTGCAGGTCTCTGCCCTTCTGCTTCACCCCCAGAATCTCCTGGCACCCGCACGTTCCCTTAGCCCTGCACCCTCCTGGTGCCCCCCCTTCCCTCACTGCTCCTGTGCCCTTTGCCCTCTTTTTCCCTGATGCCCACCCCCTCACCACTCTCTGCCCCTTTCCCCTCCTGCCCCTCTGTGCCCTCACACATGACTTGCTCCATCCCCACCTTCCTCATGCCCATCCCTTCTTTCAAGCCTTCTCTTAGCACCTCCCCCTCCCATTTGTTTTCATTTTTGTCCCAGCATTTTAGCCCTATAAATAGCAAATAGCATTTTCATTTTTTTTTCCATAAAGGCAAAGGCGCTTCAAGTGAACTCCCCCTTTCACTGCTGCTGGGTCACAGCAACCTTTTCTCTGCCCTGTCCAAGCGCCTATGGACAAGCGCCCTTCACTCCCGACCCACAGGGGAAACAGGGTGCAGGGACAACACAGAGCCAGAGGGGTGCAGAGAACAGTGGAGGGGGGGCCGGGGTGGCACAGGGAACAGAGCTGCTGCAGCCCTATAAAATCTGCGGGGCCATGTCACGCCACCGTCCTGTTGTCTGCTGGTGCTCCGCCTCCTCGTGCCGCAGCTGCACGCAGGCAGCCTGGTGCTGAGAATTGCCGCGGTTCCCCCTCCCTGGCAGTTCTCTGCTCCTCCGCCGGCTGGCGGATTGGATGGGGCCACACTGCCTGTAGTGCGGGCTTCGGCAATCCCATCACAACGACCCACTAGGCCAGTCCGCCCCTGCACTCTCCAGCTTGTAAAATCTACTCGCCACAGGCGAGCGGGCGAGTGCATTGGTCAAGCCCTGCATATCAAAATTATTCTTGGGCGACAAACCTGAAGTACTCTCCAATTTTGTGTCAATTAGAGATGTAAGAGTTTAACCAGTTAACCGATAAGATGATGCTTATTGAGTTCAGTTATGGTTAAACTCCCATGGCCACCTGGGGCCTTATGTGGATACAGGTGATTCAGTTGATGTTTATTTGGATTTTCAGAGAGCCTTTGACAAGGGCTCCTCACCAAAGTTTCCAAAGGAAACTAAGTAGTCGAAGAATGACAGGGAAGGGCCTGTTGTGGATCAGTGACTGATTTAAAATATAGCAAAGAGAGATTAGGACTAAGTGGTCCATTTTCCCAGTGGGGGGAGAGAAAGTAGTAGGACCTTCCAAGAACCTGTACTGCTACCTATGCTGTTCACTCGTTAATGATCTGAAAAAGGAAGTATATTGAACAGTTAAAGTGGCAAGTAGGGATGTTAGATATTGTGTGTATTAGTTATCATGTAGCTGCAACAATTCTTAGTGGTTACACTGTTACTACAATGTTCCCCAAGAGCAGATCCCGGCCCTTGGCCCCACTTCTGCGGGAGCCCCCTTGCACAGGCAGTCAGAACCAGTCTGAGGGGAGTAGGTTTAAAAAACCCAGCTTCCTGTGCAGACCCATTCCTGTCTGTTGCCCTGACCTGCTGCCTCTGATAGCAAGGCAGCAGTGTGGTTGGGAGGGGGAAGGGGCATAGGCATCTCCACAGAAGCCAATACACAAGGGCAGCCATCTTGGAAGCCCGAACATGTGGGAAGC